ACCCCTCAGGGCCGACAGCTACAGTTCACTCACAGACAACAGGATTATGCTTTCCAGGCATGGAAACAGGGAAGGGTCAGAGAGGGCAAAATGCAGAGACAAGATGGGCAGCCCTTCCCCTAACCCCAACACTCACCAAGCCCCTCCTCTTACAGCAACAGAGTCCGCACCAGACCAGAGAAAGACACAAAAAAGAACTATGGTGGGCCTGGGATTTAGCTCAGCAGTTTGGTGGCCTGCCTTGCAAGAGCAAGGACCCAAATTCAATCCCCAGTATCAAAAAAAACAAATCAAAGAACTATTGTGCCTCAGGCAACCATGGATCAGCCTGAGGCAGGGCTTAGGAAGTGGGCAGAGGTCAAAGCAGCAGGCACAGGGCCAGAAGCTGAGCACTACAGGGAGGACGATGGGCCCAGCTTTTGCCACCTCCCAGGGACAACCTGGCAAGGGTGGAAGTGGGCACCTGTCCCTACCAAACAAAATGAGACAGATGTCCAGACTGATGGGGCTTAGCTGTTCTCTACTCCTGGTCTTAAACATCAAAGAGGATTCCATTGTTTTGAATGTTTTTAAGACATAAACATAAAACACCATAATTCCACATGTCCCCAAAAGGCTGAGCCCCTAATGGGGACGGTGCAGGCCACTGCCCCAGGTTCCCTGGGGAGTCAGTGAAGCGTGCAGAGCCAGCCAAGTTTGGCAAGAAAGGATAGAACCCAGGACGGTGGCCAGATGACAGGACATGCACTGGGGAGCAGCTCTGACCTGCTCCAATATTTTACCACAGATGTAATTTTCTCTCTTTTTTTTTGCTTTTTGAGACAAAGTCTCACTTGTAGCCCAGGCTGGCCTTGAACCTGCAGTGATCCTACCTCAACCTTGTTGAGTGCTGGGGTTATAGGTGTGCCCAAGCACTCAAGTTTTTAAATGAAAGTAAATAAATAATAAAGGGTCAGGGATTCAGCTCAGTAACATCACACCTGCCTCACAAGTGCAAGGTCCCCAGTACCTTCCCCCCAAAAGGAAGCTAGGCAAGGTACATCCATACATATATAGTTCCAGCTACTCGGGAAGCTGAGGAGGAATGATCATTTTCTCCCAGGAGCCCAGGGCCAGCCTGGCCAACATAGTAAGAACAGGCCTCAGGTAAAAAAGTATATATACACATGTATTATATGTCTTTCTCAGTGAATACAAGGCCAGGCATGGTGGCACATGGCTGTGGTCCATCAGACTTCACCCCTCCTCTGCCATACAGATAGCAAGGGGGTGTGCTCTTCAAGCCGAATCCCAGCACAATGCAACACTAAGGCAGGAGGATTACAAATTTAAGGCCAGCTTTAGTGAGACCTTATCCCAAAATAAAAAATAAAAAAGGGCTGGGGATATATCTCAGTGAGCAGCCTGGGTTTATGTACCAGGATCACAGAAACAAAAGGGGAGTAGACATAACCACCAACTATAAGCACAAATCAAATGTAAAAAGGCAGCCAGGTTGGGAATGGACAAAAGGATCACAAGTTCAAGCCCAGCCCGGGCAACTTAGTGAGACTTTGCCTCTAAATTTAAAAATAAAACAATAAGAGCAGGAGATGTAGCTTAGTGTGAAGGCCATGAACTCAATCCCCAGCAAAACAAAAAAAAAAAAGGGGGGGGGGGAGCTTAAAGAGAACTGTGGGCAGTGTCTGGGTTTTACCAGACCAGCACAGAGTGGACAGCTGTGTGGAGATAACTCTCCTCAAGATGTGCCCTTTCTCCCATTGTGTGAAGACACCATGAGGTGACATTTGAAAAAACAGTAAGGAATCTGAGTATGATGAAATGCCCCTATAATCCAAGCATTCTGGGAGGCTAAAGCAGGAGTGTTTCAAGTTTGAGATTAGCCTGGGCAATGTAGTGAGACCTCATCCCAGAATGAGAAAATAAAAGGGACTGGGATACAACTCAGTGGTACAATACCCCTGGGTTTAATCGCCAGCACCACACACACAAACCCAACCAACCAAAACCCAGTCAGTTACAGAAAAGCAAGGTTAGGAGGAAGAGAAAGTAAATTTGTTCTGTTTCTACTGGATATAAAAGTTTGGTCCCCGCTGCCACCATGAGTACTTTGAAAATGATTACATAGTCCAGCCTCAGGACATTCCTGATGTAGAAGTGAGGGATGAGAAAGATGACCTGCATCTTACTGTACTTTAAATTGTTATCTCCACCAAAACTATGTGCTCTAAAGCCCAGGAACAAACAAAGCACTCAATGAAGTAGTTAAGGCTCTGTGGGTCATAGGTGCCTCTGAAAATGCAAAGGAAGTTACGGATCATCTCCCTTGAAAATGTGCATCACTGTACACAGACTGATTCGGCTCAAAGGGCACTAAAGAGCACCAAACTCGCTGTCTGCACAGCAGAGTGGGGGTGAAGTCTGGCCGGACCACAGCCAGGTCTCAAGAGGGTGCCTCCAGCCTCAGCCTGCCTGCCCTGCCCTCCTTTGGCAGGTTGGAGGGGCAGGGAACTGGCCAGACTCTGACACATGCCCCATGGCCCGAGGACCTTGACTACAGAGCAGAATCCCTCATGCACCAAGCCCGCAGCAGCCCCTCTCCAGGATGTGCTCATTTTGAGCCCTAGAGCCCAAGGACTGGACCCTAACCCAGGGATTCTTCCCCAGGAGCTATGTCTGTTGGCTCCCTTGGGGTCGACTGTGGAGCCAGGGGTTGCTAGGACCAACTACCCCACCCAGCCACCACATGTCCTCTCAGAGCTATATGCTGCTTTCTCTGACACCATGTGGTAAAGAGACTCTGAGGAGAGCCAGGGTCATTTTCTACCCAGTCACCCACTGAGGGAACTCGAGTCCATCACGCTCCCACAGAAAACTTCTTTACATGCTTTCACAGGAGCTGGACACAGTGCCTCATGCCCATAACCCAGCTACTCGGGTGTTTGAGGCAAAAAGGATCACAAGCTCGAGCCCAGGGTGGGCAATTTAGAGACCTTGTGTCAAAGTGATTTTATTTTTTCCCCTGGTACAGGGAATCAAACTCAGGACTTTGCATTTGCCAGGGAGATGGGGTGCCACTGAGCTACATACCCAGCCTTTCAAAGTGGTATTTTAAAAAGCACTAGAGGTATAGCTTAGTGGTAGAGCACTTGCTGAGCATGCACAGAGCTCCATCCCCAGCATGGAAAGAAAGAAAAAAGGTCCCAGCAGGAGCAGTGATGCCAGTGCTGGCCCTTGGTCCGTAGCACCGTGGCCACAGCTCCCCATATGCCCTCCACCTCAGGCCACTCAGGGATGCGTGTGGGGAACACACACAGCCCTGAGCACAGGTCTCTTCCCCTTTTCCTGCCCAGCGTGCTGTCATTTGGGAGCTGCTGTCTCCATATCCCAACACCATTGAAAAGAACTTGGTTGCTTTCACAAGGTGATGGTTTTGGTTTCATGGTACTAGAGATTGAATCCAACAAGCACTGACCTACATTTCCAGCTCTACGTATTTACTTAGAGGTAGGCTCCAGCAAAGTTGCCAAGCCTGGCCTCTAACTCAAGATCCTCCTGACTCAGCCTCCCAAGTAAGGATATTACAGGCATGCAATACCACATACAGGTACAAAAAGGGTTACGTCTGAGAAAAGACAAAGGAACAGTCCTGGTATAGATGACAGTTCTGACTTGGAAGCCTCTGGGACTGTATTATTTCAGAGACAATCTAAGCCTGCTGTCCCCAGGAGCCTCCAGAGCCCAAAAAGAGTACACAGGGGCCACTGTCACAGCACTTTTCCTGGGCAATCTGTTCCCGCACTGGGAAATGACTGCAGATCTCTTTAAGATACCAGGTCTCACCTGGCTCAGGTAGCAGTGGAAATGGGAAGATGAGCAAAGTGAGGTAGTGGTACTGAACAGAGCCTAAGGCTCAGCCATCAGAGCAATGTGCCCACTCCTCAGTGTTACTGACCCCCAAGAGGTGAAGTTTACCCACAGGGTGGTGGGCACAGGCCCCTTCCAGTGAGATGCCCCAGCATCAGCGCCTAGCAAAGGCCAACCACAGCAAGGGTTAGCTTGCAGGCTGAGCGAACCCCCCACTATGCACACTGAGCCCACACCCCACCCAGACCATTTCCTCTTCCTCCAGACTGTGGGACATACCTCCCACCAGCACCTGTCACAAGCCCTGCATCAGACTGGCAGCCTTACCCAAAAATCAAGAAGCAGTCCCTGAAACCTACAAACATTCACCAGCTGGGCTGGAGGTGTAGCTTAGTGGCGCTATGCCTGCCTCATAAGTGCAAGGTCCTGAGTTTGATCCCTGGTACAAAAAAAAAAAAAAAAAAAAAACCAACCCCCCCAGCCACAGAGACTAAACACATGGTCCTGTGGCATGGCTTCTACCAGCAAACATACTGAGGAAGGAAGAAAAGAGAGAAATCAGAAACAGGAGGGCAGTAGGAACACAATGACCAGGAAGGCCATTTACAGAGAAAGTACAAAAAGGGACTTTAAGGCGTGTCACATGTTAGAGCATCCTTTCCGGACAGTCAGGGTGAAGAGCTTCGGAGGCCCATTTCTTCCCAGGCACTTCTGGTCTTTCTTTTCCTCAGAGGCTTCATCTGAGGTAGATCTTGAGGAGATCATGGAGCACCACATGTGTGCTTTCTGGTGTCCTTGCAGGGCCATGTGTGCTTCGCGGTGTCCTTGTGGGGCCACACACTAACTCGTGTCCTCACAGAGCCATGTGCTGCTGCCTCGTGTACCAACAGGGCCACGTGCGTGCTTCCTCACTTCCTCACAGGGTTGAGCCTGGTGTCCAATGCTGGACAAAACAAGAACTGTGGTTTCTGTTGAAGTCACATTGGTCTGAGGCAGAGGACGTGGTGATGGGTGCAGGGCTCTGGCCGCCTGCCTGCCTGCCTGCCTGGCGCTGCCGTGGACACGCACACTTACCTGGCCGCCCAGTTGATGCCAGGCTGCCTAGCCAACATGGAACCACCTGTGAGCCTTACCTTATGTACACTTTTGGGGTTCTCCAGCCAAGCACAGTACATCTCCTCCACATAGTTTGAACTAGTCCCACTGAGAAAGGGCTCAGCAGCAACCGGCGCAGAATAGCACCGGATTTGTTGAAACGTCCTAATTGCTGCTGATTTGTTTTGTGAAAATGTCTTAACAGTCTGGGAGGCCGTCAACGGCCTCAACTTAGCAGCACAAGTCCTTAAATGAAACATTTTTGTCCTGAAGTCTTTCACGATGACCTGTTAAAAAAGCAAAAAAAAAACATTTAGAAAGAAAACTATGAAAATTTAAAAAGAGCTACAGGGAAAAATCTGCCTGCCTGTTGAGCAGAAGGATTCTAGCCTGTAAGAGCATTTGCAAAGGTGCCCAAGCTCACAGAACTATGAGACACCGACTCACACTCTCGCCTCCCACCAGGACCCTGCACTACCCCATCCTACAGTTTAGATCTGGGTGCCCCAATGCTGTAGCATTCGGGGGATCTTTGGAAGGTGAATAGACGGAGGGCTTTGATTCATCCTGGGAAATGATGCGATCCTAGGAGAGACGGCCTAGGTCAAGGGAGTAGGTCACAGGGACCCGGCCTCAGAGCCAAGGACTCATCCCCAGCCCCTTTTTCTTGGGCTCTCTCTGATTCCTGGGCACCATAAGGTAATTGGTTCCTCTACCACATCTCTTTTTTAGCCACATCTTCACCACAATGTTTTTTTCTTTTGGTACTGGGAACTAAACTCAGGTCTTGAGCTTATGAGGCAGGCGGAACCACTGAGCTAAATCCCCCAGCCCTTCACCACGATGTTCTGCTTCACTCCTGGCCACAGACTGCAATCTCTGACCATAAGCCTACATGAACCTCCCCTCCTTCAAGGTGTCAGTCCCAGGTATCTGTCGCAGGGGCAGGGACAGGAAGCTGATGAACATACCAGGGGAGGTAGGTGCACAGTTGCAGACGTCATCATCTGCACTTAAAAAGTTCAAAAATAAACCAGGTGGCCAGGTATTTAGCTCAGTGGTGCCATCACCGGCTGTAAAACCACAAGGTCCCGAGTTCAATCCTGATAACCTCCACAAAAAAAACTTTTAACCAGGTGTAATGGTGCATGATCATAATCTCAGCACTCCACAGGACTGAGGCAGGAGGATCGCAAGAACTCAGACTGGGCAACCTAATGATTTACTGAGACCCTGTCTCAAAATTTTAAAAAAATTTTTAATGGCTAGGGATGTGAAGGCCCTGGGTATTCAATTCCTAGTTCTGCCCTTGCCAAGAGTTCAAAACTAGTTTGAAAGGCTCAACAGATATGACCTTCTCTACATCCATACACTGTAAAAAACATTTGCCAGTGGGTGCAGTGGTGCACGCCTGTAATCCCAGCACTTGGGAGGCTGAGGCAGGAGGATCGCTGTGAGTTCAAGACCAGCCTGGGCTACATAGTTTGTTCCAGGGCAGTCTCAACTACATAGTGAGACCCTGTCTCAAAAAACAAAACAAAACAAAACAAAAAATTTTGCCAAAAAGGTAATGAGGATTAATTTAGGATTAGGAGTAATCACTGAATGAAAAAGATATTTTCTAATTAGAAACTACAGAGCACCTGCTACACTCACAGTATTCTGGGAAAATGGAGAATTAGAAAAATGCTTTGCTTACCTGCATGTACTTTACCCTCGAGAAATAATTACAGAAAATTATTGAGCCCTGAGCGCTGGAGAGATGGAGTATTCTGTAAGACACACACAACGCCCCCATTCCAGGGACCTGAAGAGCTTCAGGCAGAGCTCACAGGAGGGGCCTGTCTGGGCTGCCCCTCAAAAGCAGCTGCACCCCTTCCTTAGTGCAGAGGCTGGGCCAAGGAAAGCAGGCAGGCTCAAGAAGACTAAGCTGCAGCATAGTTGACACTGCACAGGCAGACACCCACATGCTCTCTAGAAGGTTCTGCTGTACCTGGAGCCAGAGTCCCTAATTCCTCATGTTTCACCAAGATACAGGACACCAGTGGCAGAGCCAGGATCCAAACCAACCTTCCTGACAGCAAAGTTCCTCCTCTGCCCCACAGAAGGCAGCTCCCCCACCCCCCCCACAACCTATTTCCTCCTGGCTGGAGAGAGGCAGAGGCAGAGTCATGGGGAAGGAAGGGAGAAGGCGCATCTGGGATGGGGGAGAAAGTGCTCTGGTTAGACACAGCCATGACTTGATTAATCTAATGTATAAAAGCTAGCCATTTTAAGCTGGGCATGGTGGCATATGCCTATAATCTCAACACTTGGGAGGCTGAAGCAGGAAGATCACCTCAAATTTGAGTCTAGCCAGGACTACACAGTGAGTTCAAGGCCAGTCTGAACTACACAGTGAGTCTCTATCTCAAAACAAACAGAGCAACCAACTAGCCATTTTAGCCAGGCACCATGGCACATAGCTATAACTCCAACACCCCAGAGGCTGAGACAGACGGATCTCCCCAACTTTAAGGCCAGCCTGAATAACATAAAAATTACCTTTTCTTTTTTTTTTTTTTTTGGTACTGGGGATTGAACTCGGGTCCTTGCGCTTGCAAGGCAGGCCACCAAACCGCTGAGCTAAATCCCCGGCCCTAAAAATTACCATTCTATAAAGAAGTTATGTGTCCACCAAAACTTGCCTGCTTAGCAAGTGCAAGGACCTAGTTTCAACCCTGGGGGCGGTGGGAGTTCAGGACTCTGCTACCTGTAGGTGGTGACTTACTTTTAGGAGAGGGGGAATGGAACAGACTGCTTCTCTCCCTCTGAGAGGCCTGGCTGTCAAACAGCAACAGACTCAGCAAAAGGGGCCCTTGGAAGAGAGCCTTGGCCGCAGGCTCAGAACCAAAAGGCTAGGCTGGGTTGTGTGCTTCCTGGCCTAATGCTTACTCATGAATTTGCCTCAAAGCAGATGTCCTGGTAATAAAATTGAAATTATACCCCACTTCCAGGGGTAGGGGTGTGGCTCAGAGGCAGAACCAGGCTTGGCATGCTAGGCAACCTGGATTCAATTTTTAGCACCAAAACAACAACAAAATATACTATGAGCTAGCTGTGGTGGTGCAAGCCTCCAAAGGCTAAGGCAGGAGGATCATTTGAGTGAGTGTTCAAGATCAGCCTGGCCAACATATCAAGCCTCTATCCCAAAACAAACCAAATAAAGAATTCAAAACCACACCCGTGTCCACACATACATGATGGAGTCCACCTTCTGAAACATCATGTTCTGAAACATCCAGAATTAATATTACAGAATCTGCATGGTTTCTGTAGCTCAGGGCTGGAGCCCTCACCTAGCACAGTAAGGGCCCAGATCTGCTCAGAATACACAGATTCTGGGCCCAGCAGGTGTCCTCTGGCTTCTGCTCTGGCTGATGAGACAAGACAGGGAAAGGGGAAAGCTGAACAGGTTCTGTACAAACTGAACAAGAAGGGAGAAAAATCTGTTCCTCATTAGTGAAAGTGAACATGCAATATATTCTAGATGTAGCAGTAGTAAACAACCTTAACCCCTGGACTTTATTTTACTTTTGAAGGTGAAAATTTTAAGTTAATTCATTAGTCCTTCCAACTTCAACTACATGCTAACTTTTCCCCTAATAAATGTAAGGCAAAGAGCCCCAACCCTGATGACAAAAATATACTATGGCTGCTGTTGACAAAAATTTTTTATTACTCAGGTCCAGAAGAAAAGACTCATTTCCCCTGTAATGCCATTATCATGTACACAGCAAGAAGCCCCTGACCCTTTCTACCCGCCTTTCCCCAACCATTATCGTCACCACAGGTGGCAGGTGTGATGATGGCCCATGAACAGGAGCCATAGCAGCAACACCCGACATGTGCACCCCGCCTGCCCTCAACAGCTGGATCCTGATGGGGCACACGTGAGGGCACTAAGCAGGGCAGACCCGGAGAACAGAACTTCGTGCTGTTTCTGCTGACTCATAGGAAAGCTGCCCTACAGCAGACAGTGCTACAGGCCCTGTCTCCTCCCTGGAACCGAGCTTGATGTCCACGCTCAGAGCCAAGGCTGTCGCAGACATACACATCCAGTTCTGGTGAGCAGCCCATCCTGCACCTTTCTGTTACAGAGCGCAAGAAGGTTTCAAACAAAGCTACTAGGGATTGAAGCCAGGAACTGAGTTTTCCACCCCCACCCGCTTTGAGACAAAGCCTCACCAAGTTGCTTGAGTTACCCAGGCTCGGTTCAAACTTGAGATCCTTCTGCCTCAGCATCCTAGAGAATTGGGATTACAGGTATGCCCTCACACCCGCTAAATTTTTGTTGTTGTTTTTGGAACTGGGGATCAAACTTGGGACCTTGTATTTGGAAAGCAGGTGGCACCACTGAGCTAAATTCCTCCTGGCCCTGTTTTTGTTTTTCAATACTGGGATCAATTCAGGACCTCCTGCTTGCTTGTGAGGCAGGCGAGATGCCATTGAGCAAAATTCCTGGCCCCCAATAATAGGTCTTGAAACACAATTCTAGAGGGCCAGGGATTTAGCTCAGTGGTGTCACTGCCTGCCTCGCAAGTGCAATGTCCTGGGTTTTATTCCTGGTACAAAAAAACCAAAAAACCAAAAAAACACACAATGCTAGAGTTGTCTAATGCTGAGTCAACATTAAGAACACCACATCAAAGAAGATGAGGCATAAGGATTGAACTGGAGTTCAAGGCCAGCCTGAACTACAGTTAAGTCCCTGACTTACGTGTTTTTTTGTTGTTGGGTTTTTGGGGTTTTTTTGTTTGTTTGTTTTTTGTTTTTTGTTTTTGGTATTGGGATTAAACTCAGGACCTTGTGCTTGCAAAGCAGGTGGCAGAACCACTGAGCTAAATTCCCACACTTAAAGTTTTTATGTTTTTTCTCCTTTGTCCCTGACTTATGAACATTCAAGTTATGAACTTTCAGATTGGGACAAACCTCACTGTTTTTTAATGCTTTTACTGTATATTTGTGTCATGTGTACCAGACTAAGGACTAAAGAAGACCACAATTCAGAAATGCCAACAGATGTAGACAAAAACAACCCCAACAAAAGCCTGCTGTACCAGCCCAAGGGACAGGCAGAAGGGTAGCAACAGGGATACAGAGCAAACACTCGTGGGCCCCCCTGCAGCCCACTAGAAGGTCACAGTGTAAACCAGGGATGCCCAGCCTCACCCTATCAGGGAGCACAGGCAGGGAGCCTGCATTCAGCAGGTGCCTCTGGGGGGAGCTCTCACCATAGCAGTAACAA